GATCAGTAACCCTCTCGATATTTTCCTGCTACCGGCCTTAGCCAGTCCTTAAACGCTGGGTCCTCTAACTACTTACGTGCAAATATGACTTAGCTTTTCTGAGTGTAAGCAGCCAACATGTACTTCAGCGCGCAAACTGTTTAAGATGTAGCTCGACCACCGAATATGACATCAGCATCACAGAGATCATCTATGAATGAAGGAATGAGCCTAATCCACATTTAAAATAATTTGCGAGAAATTTAGCAGATAAACTTTAAAACACAAATAGACAATTTGTAGTAAAAAAAAAAATCTAAAATTTAATACCTCGTAAATTTGCGTGTAATACCTTTTAATACTTTTTAATGGCTTTAATTTTTGCTTATGTGATTTACTACCTTTTAATACTTTTTAAAACCCCGCGGACACCCTGAACATCTACTTGAAAATGTAGGTTCTGCCTGTGTCAAGAAATGTATTCATTTGTTTCATTGTGCATACCAAACTGAAAATGATGTAACTGAAAGGCACATGACAAATACACTACCAGAAAAAAGTTTTTGCACACCACAGGTTTTTTACCACTTTTCAATTTATTTCATAACTGCAGATTTTTTTGTTAAGCTTTGGAAAGTTGAGTGAACAAATATTGATGAAAATATAAGTGAAATAAAATTAAATAATTCCTTTATAACATGGAAAGAGTATTAACAGTGCATGTCTGACATCCTATTAACTGGTTCTGTGGTGATGACATAGTCAAATTCTAGGCTGTGCTTTAACTTTAAAATCAATAGCTAACTGTTTTATTCCAAGAAATAGAGCAATATTTAATTTCCCTTGTAGAAAGAATGCCTTGAATTTTCTCTGCTGTTATAAATGCTAGGGGAGGTTATTTTGATGAATCAAAGATATGACATTTTGTTAATAAATGTACTCAAATGGTGAACATTTGCTAATTTATTTGTTAGCAAAGAATATTGAGTGCATTTTTAGTAAATGTTAAGTGAGTAACATGCAAATGCAGAAAATCTGTTTGTGCAAAAACTTTTGACTGGTAGTGTATGTGTAGTGTTACAGCCCTAGAAGGTAATGGTAGAAAAAGAAGAGGAAATGATAATGGAAAAACTATAATAATTAAAATTTTAAAAATCTTCCCCATCATGTATGTGCGGGGAGTGAGGAGGGACTAGTAAATTAATACGATGCCCCAAAAAGGGGCAGACTCTGAAAAAGGTTAAGAATCCCTGGTCTAAAGTAACATACAAGTGAGACAGCAGGGTCGGCCAGCATCCTTGGAGCAATTGGGGTTAAGGGTCTTGCTCAGGGGACCAATAGTGACATCATTCTACAGTGTCCTACCCCACAGAGACATATGCTACCCGCTGGTAGCTGCACCCCTCAGAAATGTCCTCAGCAAGGGGTAGTGACATAGATCACAGCTAGCATGAAACACGACAGCATCATTCTCTGAACAATAAGTTCCAATATTCTAACAAAGAGCTGAGAGCCGTTTCGCCATAAGGTTCAGGTCATTATACCTTGAGATTACAATACGATGAAACCTGTTTTTCTGCATATTGAAGTGGTTACAACTTACCTGCTCCACTGTGCTGAGAGGACAGAGACTCCTCACTTTTTGCTGACCGCAGGGTGAGACTGTCTACGCGGCAACCTGAGGCAGCCCAGGCAGGGGAAGGGGGGAGGACAGGCAGAAAAATTATCCATCCATCCAATCCCATCCCATCCTGAGCAGGGTCACAGGGGACTCTAGAGCCATCCCAGGCAGCACAAGGCAGGTGCACACCATGGATGGGATGCCAGTCCATCGTAGGACAAATTATACAATATGCTAACTGATGTGGCATACAGTGGTACCTCAGTTCTCAAACTCATTATAACTCGAATTTCTTAAAAGTCGACCCAACCAGTTTGAAAAAAAATGACCTAGGACTCAATCTGAATCTCAGAAGTCAAACCATGAATGGCGACCTAAAATAACTTGTACGCGCGGGGAAATGAGTCACGCAGCATGTCTCTCAGCGGAAACAAAGCGTAACACTTCAGTCTCAGCCTCGCATTCGCTGTGATAGCATCGTGCATGTTTAAACTAACTGAATACATATATTTAGACAGTATAAATACATTTAGACAATGATAGACAGTAACAGTAATTATTATTATATAATAAAATACATAAAAAAATAAAGATTTCTTATTAATTATTTTATTACATTTCATTATATTAATATTGTCGTGCCCAGCGGGGACGGAACGGAGACAAAAGATGCAGACATCAGGGTATCGGGGAATACGGGGTTTAATTACAGGTAAGGCAGGCAAAACACAGACGGACAATACAATGACCGGACTGGGGAAACAAACTGAAACGCAGACTAAATACAGAGGACTAATGATAACAGCCAGAAACAGCTGATCACACGGGGTTTCCACACGGGGTTACTAAGGGGGCGTGGCACACGGAAGGAGCCGGCGATCGGGGCAGGACATATTGTTTGGATACATTTATTTTTTTACTTTAAAAATTACTGTTTTGATAAATGTGCTTAGATGTATTTAGTACAGTATATGCTCTTCTTGTTTTATCCGGTTCATTTTGTGTTTAAATGCTAAAAAAAAACATATTTCGGTGTAATTTTTTGGGGCCGGGAACCAATCAATTGGTTTTCCATTATTTCTTATGGGGAAAATTTGATCAGAACTCGAACTTTTTAGGATTCGATCTGGAGTTCTGAACGGATTAAGTTCGAGTTCAGAGGTACCACTGTATTCGTAATATTTGATTAAAAGAATGTTATATGGTGGATAACACATGCACATTAAATAATGAAAATGAAGTGTGAACGTGTCAGTATGGGTTTCTCGTACCAGCATGGGAAGTGGATGGCTGGAACAGGGAGCTGATCCGCATGGGCTTCCGGCGGCCAGAGCCTCCCTGCTTCCCCATGGCGAAGAACGTCTTCCAGCTTCCTCCCGCTGACTTCCGGCTCTTAAAGCCCCTCTTCCTCCTGGACAGTGCACAGAATGAGTCAAAATAAGGCAGAGAAGCTCAGGAGACTGGCAAGCTGTGAATAAAAGCACTGCTCAACTTGGCATTCACATTTAGCTGGCACCAGCTTTTCTTCAACACATCACTCCTCTGTGAAAGTGACATATTACTGTATAATACAGAGACATAACACAACATGAAACATATTGGTTGGTTTTTCATGGTCATAGCAAGCAAGAATGTTGCTAAATCAAGACAAATAAGGCTGCATGTAATTACTTTTCAAGAAGGACCAGGAAAATGAGCTGAAAGCCATGGACACAGGATTCCCTTAGACCAGGGGTGCCCACACTTTTTCAGCTTGCAAGCTACTTATAAATGACCAAGTCAAAATGATCTACCTACTAGCTACCTAATGCAAAACATATAGTTATGTATAAAAATATTGAGTAATCTTTATTATTTATAATCATATCAATTATTATTATCAATAATATTATTATTATTGTTATTATTAATATTATTATTAACAATTCCCTTTGGGATAAAGTATTTTTTAATTGAACTGGGATTTTAGTTCCTACACCTTTCTCTTTCTCAGCTTGCTTTTTGGAGGGAAGTTAATATCATAGTTTTTATGAACAGTCCGAAAATGCCGCTTCACATTCCCCTTCTTCAGAATTGCAATGGTAGACTGACAGATGAGGCAAACGGACTTCGAATATGTCATTGTGAAAAAAAAGTCCTCCTATTCCGTATAGAAGTGGCAGGTTTTTGGCTTCTTACTTGATCCAGCTCCCTCATTCATTTTTATACCCTTTCTTAAGTTTAGTAGAAATAAATTGGAGGCTAACTAGGCGACTCGGTAGCTTTCTAGAGTTTTGTAGCAGCTGGCACGGTTGAATGCATCATCCATCCTCTATTTTTTATGCCATACGATCCTACACAGACTACCTTTGCGATCGACCTGTAGATCACAATCGACATATTGGGTACCCCTGCCTTAGACAATTTATGTGTGAAAATTACACCAATTAGGAAAAAAAAAAACTTTAATACAAGACAGATATATAGAAGAGCTATATTTAAGTATATTAGCAGTATAGGCAGTCCCCAGATTACAAATGACATCTATTTCTCTGTAAGTCAATTTTTTAGGTAAGTTGGAAAAATAATACAATACATAATAAATTATTATGCAGTAATAATAAAAGTAATTACAAACGGTACAGTATTGTACCTTGAGCCAACAAATCGCTGAAGCAGCGCAATGTTTTTATGAATGTCACAAAGTAGTGCATGCATTCGTTATTATGAATCATTGTATAGAACTCAATTTTTTTATATAATAGGCTTTATGGCATTCTGTTCATACTGTAAGTGCAAGTTGCCAGTAAGTCATACATTCTTAAACTGGGTACTGTGTATACATTAGGTGCATTAAACATGTCTGTTCCCTGGGTGCAGGGAGATTGGGGTTTCGGTTCTAACCCCAGATGCATGCAGAGTTTACATGTTCCCCCTGTGTACGTGTGGGTGTTCCCCCTGTATACGTGTAGGTATTCCCCCAGTGTACGCATGAGTGTTCCCCTTGTGTACTCCAGGTGCTCTACTTTCTACCCCATAAGGCCAGAAGACCTGCTGTCTTATCCTACATAAGGTACCCCTGCAGAGCTGTGCTGTGATCCAGGTTTTATACTGACCTTTCTTCAGGTAGGTCAAGTACAGTGTGGAACTTGCCCTGGAAGGATAGTGGTGCTCCTAGTTGGAGCGAAGGAGCCTGAGTTCTGGCCTGAGCCTCCTCTAGGGTCAGCAGCTTGGTGGACACAAACGACTTGGGTCTGGTCAGGGATTGCCGCTCTAAAGAAGGAAGGGAGAGACAGGGGAAAAGACAGAGAGACAGAGACTCCATCAAGCAGACAAGCAGCATATTAGCACAAGCATCACACAAAAAATGACCAAAATGACAGAGCTTGTGCCAAAGCAGCATTGTGGGTAACTGGGCCAGATAGCGGCAGGAAGGCGTCTCTATGGCAGTTGCCATGAAGCAGACTGCCTTTGGGGCATACAGAGCAAGGTTAACACAGAGTCACGTGAACACTTTGAAAGGATTCAAAACTGCTGAGGCAGGTTTGAGCAGAACAGCTGAGATCTACAAATAAAGCCAGTGTTAGATGGGGGGAACCAGCTAAAGACACTTTAGGTTTCCAGCAGGCTGGAGGCTTAGATGGAATAAAAAATGAGAGGTGAAATCAATGGGACTCAAGGGATTAATGTCCATATCGCATACATGGAGAATATACATTTTTAGAGGCAAACTGCTGAATCACACACATTGGAGTTAAAAAATGGTTTGCTTATGTTCTAAAATTACAAGAAAACACAGCAACAAACCTTTTACCTATGTTTTTAAATAAAATCAAATCAAAACTTGATAGCCTGAAATGTTGCACCCAAACTGCAGAGTAGACACTTAAAATAATGACAAAAAATAAAGACACGTTCAAAGTTGCTTCAACATAACAGTAAAACATAACATTTTATTGCAAACATTTCCTAGTTTTGGTGATGCAATAGGAGTCAAACAAGCTGCAGTTTGTCTTGAGCTTGACAAGTGGGTTCAAGTTTGCAATCACTGAAAAGGAAGCCTGTATAGAAATAACCTGACAACAACATATAATCTAGATAACAATGGAAATAAGGTTCACATCAATAGTTCAAAAACCTAATATTGAAACTCGAAAACAAACACAAATTGTTGTACAGACATATTCTGCAAAGTAAATTCAAATTGAAATACAGCACCAATCGTGCTGCATTTTCTGCATACTAAAAATAAAGCGATTGAAAGCTTGTTAGTGACCATGCAATGAGAATTTTAGTTATATAACCTAATTAATGGCACTGCTCTCAAGGATGTTTAAAACACAGAGTGGCGGCGTGCATCCAGCTCCTTGGGCTGCTGCTGCTGCTGCTGCTGAGATAGGGGGGGCGGGGCTTGTAAGGGACTCAGAAGCAGCCTCCCAGGAGGCTGGGCCCGTGCCTCCTGCAGGCTCACCAGCCGGCCTGTCCGGGACTGCTGGGAGAGGTTATACACCGCCCCATCCGTCACTACGGAGACACACAATCACACTCAGCCTCATAGCCAGCCGCCTACCTGCTGTCAGTTAGTCTGTAGATCCCAGATGCCCATGAAGCAGGAGATGAAGCTCCGCTTTATAATACACTAAACTCAATTATAGGTTAGATTCTGAAATACCAAAGCAATGCTTCACAAGCTCTGAAAGGCAGCCACACTTGCTGAACTGGTTTCTAGGAATCATATAACTTCTAGAGATGCACCAAACTCTGGATTCAGCTTCATGTTTTGCAAAATATTCAAATTTTTGAAAGGGTTTGGTTTCTGATGAACATTCAGGCATAGTATTAACTGAACCAAATCCCATACTTCTTGCTTTAAGCCTATTGCACGGGCATGTATGTCAGAAACCACATGGAAAAGTCAACGGGTAATATTCAGAATTTAAGGTACAACAAAAATGTCCGGTGTGACAGTATTTCAAGCAAAAATAAACAGATATAAGTGCTTTCATTGGCGAACATCTCATTTCCCAGTTCTGAGAATCCACTTCATTGGTGGAAGGCACATCCGTCTCCATTTCCCATTGCTTGCTAAAACAGCAGATCTACAGCGGGGAAAATAAGTATTTGACACATCAGCATTTTTATCAGTAAGGGGATTTCTAAGTGGGATATTGACACAAAATGTCCACCAGATGTTGCCATCAAGCCAAATATTGAATTCATACAAATAAATCAGAACATTTAAGTATACAAGTTGAGTCATAATAAAGAAAGTGAAATGACACAGGGAATAAGTATTGAACACATGAAGATAAAAAGGTGTAAAATGGCATAAAAAGCCAGGAGATCACCTGAAATCTGTCAGTATTGAGAGAGAAACCCTGCCCCCTATCAGTACAAATTGATATCAGCTGCTTTAGTCCTAATTGATGGCCTATAAAGGCTTCTCATTACCCAGGAGGCACACAGGAAAGACTTCATGATGGGTAAGAGCAAAGAACTCTCCCAAGATGATCTTAATCTTATCGTTGAAAAGCATTCTGATGGGAATGGTTATAGGCGCGTTTCCAGAATGCTGAATGTTCCTGTGAGCACTGTGGGGGCCATTATCCGGAAATGTAAAGAGCATCAATTCACCATAAACCGGCCATGATCAGGTGCTCCACGTAAGATCCCTGTCAGAGGAGTCCAAAAAATAATCAGGAGAGTTCTCCAAGAGCCAAGATCCACTCGGGCAGAACTTCAGGAAGACCTTGCATCAGCAGGTACTGTTGTTTCAAAGAAAAATATAAGCAATGCACTGAACCGCCATGGCATCCATGCATGCTCACCACGCAAGACTCCATTGCTGAACAAAAAGCATGTTGAGGCTCGGTTAAAGCTTGCGAAACAGCATTTGGAGAAGCCTGTGGATTACTGGGAGACTATAGTATGGTCAGATGAAAGCAAAATTGAACTTTTTGGCTGTCATTCTACACACCGTGTTTGGAGAAGAAATGGCACTGCCCACCACCCCAAGAACACCATACCAACAGTTAAGTTTGGGGGTGGAAGCATCATGGTTTGGGGCTGCTTTTCAGCAAGGGGTACTGGCAGACTTCATATTATTGAAGGCAGGATGAATGGAGAGTACGGGGTCATAGTGAGTTAGTTAATTATGGGGCCAGCTCAGTGTTGCGTTTGGAATATGTTTGCCCTTCTGGACGTTAGTGTCCAGTCGGATTTCATCTGCGAGCGATGTAAGCTAGTGGACTCACTCATGGTCAAGGTTCGCGACCTTGAGGAGCAACTGGCTCTCATCCAATGCAACAGTGAGTTAGAGGAGCTAGTTAGTACGCAGTTTAGAGAGCTGGTGTGTACGCCACTAGCGGGGAGGAGGGAGAATGAAGAGCAGAGAGGTCGAGAGAGCTTGGTGACCGTAGGTCGTAGATGCAGGAAAAGGCGTAACACGTTACA